CATTTGCAAGTCCCGATTATGTGATTCATATTCTTGCCATAAGAGAATTTCAACTTTCTGTTCAATTCAAACCATTTCAAGAAAGTGCCTGAGTTTCGATTCAAGATTTCATGTTTTGTTTCAATTCAAGTTACAAGTTCACCACCAAAATTAAAACTCATGTAAAAATTATTCCAAGTGTGTCATCTTATTCAAATTCTTTTCAAGTTGTTTCATGTTTCATTCCAATTTTCAAATCATTCAAGTTTCAAGTTTATTTTCAAGATTGTGAAGCCCATGATACCCTTTGCATTATTCCTTTAGAAGAAAACAAACAATATTAGCTAACTTATCAAGGATCGAATTAAGAGGTTGACGTTGAGTACAACGGACGTGAATGAGTGCTAATAACTTTCCCTCACGTAATCGACTATCGAACCCAAAATGTGATTACGATTACCATGTTCTTTCCCTAAAAAATTTATCGATATTTCCCTTTCCCTCTTTGGGATGAATAAAATTCGGTGGCGACTCTGTTTGTTTTTCGCGTCCATCGTGAAGGTCGTATCATTTTCTAGGGTGCGACACCAGCGTCAGGTATTCGGCGAGATGATCGTTTTTTGCTTGGTATTCCCCTCGTACCTGGGAGGCCACGAGCTAGGAGTCCATGAAGATTTTTATTTCCTTAGCGCCCAGGTCCTCGGCCAGTCGTAAGCTTGCAAGGAGTGCCTCGTATTCGGCTTGATTGTTCGAGGTTGGGAAGAACAGGACCAACGGCACTTTGATTAGGATCCTCTCTTTGTTTTCAAGGATGATGCCTGCGCCGCTGCCAGTGGAGCTGGAAGCTCCGTCGACGAAAATGGTCCACTTGTATGATCTACTCGATGGGGATGCTAGGGGCGAAAATGTTCCACTTGTGCAAAATGGTCCACTGTTGGTATCTGAGCTTTGGCCCTTGTAAGCGTTGCTTGTAAAATATATTAGTTTATGCCCATCGATGTTTTCTCAAATAAGGACAACGCTAATGGCTTCGTTGGTGACAGAGAGATACAGGTAGAGCGGTTTCCCGTTGTCTGGTCGAGACAGAACTAGGGATTTAGACAGAGCTTGCTTAAGATGGCGCAGAGCCTGTTCACATTCCTCTGTCCATTCAAATGTAGCCTCTTTTCGTAAGAGCTTGAAGAAGGGCAGAGCGTGTTGGGAAGACTTGACCATGAAGCGAGATAACGAGGTAAGAATCCCATTGAGGTTTATTTACTAAATGTAAGTTTTTTTTAATCAACACTTTGAATTTGTCTTGTTGGTGATTAATCTAAAAACTTTAATCACATGATTCATTTGTATTGATTTTGTAATCTTTACACATCTTTTGTAAAACCATTATTAATTCAATACAACACATTTTTTACTCTTTGGTTAGATTGTTGATTTGATCTTTGTTGTGTTTTGTACTCATTAAGTTGTCTTGTGTATAGTCCAATCGATAAGCATAATCATTCTATACACAAATTTGCTTCCGCCGCACAAACTATTTTATTTTCAAAATTCTGATAAAATCTTTTCAAAACAAATTTTCAAATAGATCAATTATAATTTGGAGGTCTATTCACTTCCCTCTAGAATGGTGTATACTCCTTATTCTTGCCCAACAATATGGACAAAATAGGAGCTCCTAGTAAATAGAAAAGTAGAGATGGGGGGACATATGAATCATAATCCAAACAGGAATGGTGAAATCCAACCTCGAGAAAACCGAAGCTTGATCCTACATGAAAAACATTGATTGAATATGAGGCTTGTTACACTTTGTATATGAAACAAAATGAATTGGTTTTTAAGAAAAAGAATCTGTCACCCTTAAAAGGGCTCCAACATCTCCCACTAAAGCAGAAGAAAATGAGTTGTAATTGGATATATAGAAATTTATAATGATAGGACCAAAATAGTTTCTATGGTCTAAGGAGGCATCATGTCGCTCATCTAAAATAAATAGTGACATGTGTAGCGAAGCTCAACAAGAGGCTAGTCACTTACTATATTGGCGGCTGACATTGAACGAAAGTTGACAAAATCTTTACCACCTTTTTAGTCTTGACACTATCTTATTTCCTTTCCCCAAAGGTAGGGGTGGAAAATGGGAATGCCCACCCCATTAAGGCCTTCCCCGTAAAATCCCGAAAAAAATGGGATGGAAAGGGGCATACATGTTTGAGGGTGCGGGCCTAAAAATCTTACCCTGTCCCGCATAAAAGTGAGGGCAAATGGGGGTAGGCCCATAAACATTGAACCTTTTATTCCTAAAAGTTACAAAATTGTATGTAAAAGTCCGTGCAAACAAAATCTTGCAAATAACTAGGCGAGATGCGGCGAACACATTAAAAGGGGCGAGCATGCCTGAAGTGCCAGACCCTTTTGCCACTCCTACCCAAAGGTCATATGAAACAAAGAGGCACTAAGGCACCTATTGATAATTGTCTACATCATATTTTGGTAAGAGAAAGAATTTTCTCATCCTTCCATTATCTAAGTCTTCCACCATTAGTTCCCTTAACAATGCAATAAGAGATAAGACATTTGTTTGTTAAAAATGTGGAGACAAAGAGTATGCAACAGAGGAAATTTTTCCTGAATTGTTTGGAAAAATCTTAACCTAATCCTTCATTGACACCCAAAATGACCCCCACTCTCCGTCATTAAAATACCGTGAATAGACGACCCTTATTTTCATTGGATGATATTTATACCATATCTAATGCAAAATATCTTTACGTTCAATGTCCCATATGTGGAACCTTATTTTGCAGGTGATATCATTTTAACAAGGACAACAACTTTTGTTGAACTTTCGATGATGACAACTAATTGATGATGACTCCAATGTCTTCTAACAAGTCAAGCATAACTGGTTAAAACAGATAAATATGCAAACCTAAACATTAGGGTTTGATGGAATTGACTATCTGATGATGACAACCAAATGGAATATAAGCTTAAGCCTCACCTCATATAAACTCAAGAAAGTGTATACAAAAGAAAGCATCGACAAAGTCTTTAATGCAACGAAGTCATACCTTAGTCCGAGTGAATCTTTTTTTAAAAGAAAAAGACATTATTATAAAAGCACATGACTTAATCACACACACACAAACTTATTTTTCAAACTAATTTTTATCAAGAAAATACCGTAAAAAATTATCTTGAAGTTGTGTCAGATGAGTTTAGAGATGTCAGATTGCTATGGGCAAAGTTTTTCCTTTTCTAATCGATTGGAACACTTATCTAATCAGTTAGATCAATTCAAAATTAAGCTCTAATCAATTACGACAATATTTTTCCTTTCCTACCCGCTTCAATCCACCATTTAGAAGAGAAGGCTCAAATTGCCAAATTTCATGTCTTGTTGTGTTGGTTGGAAGTCAACCATATTCCTTTTATAAGAGGATTCGTGAGTATTACCTACTAAAAGCTCTCAAAGTTTATCGAATACTCTCAAGATCATTTCTTAGGAGAGAGAAGTAGGTCTGTTTATTTTGATTGAACCTCTATAATTTTCAATGTTCTCTCTTTTCCTAACCTCTTTAATACACATATTTTATATTCTACAATTTATTTTTCGCTGCTTAGTAAGCTTCTTAAACGTATTCAAAATGTATTTAAACTCTAATTATAATCTGAAAAAGTTTTCAAAACTAAATTTTTATCAACCACACAATTCACAACCTTTTGTGTGTGTGAAATCATATATCCAACATCTTAAATGTGATAGATTTTGTCTTCATTCAACTAGTAGAGTTGTATTTTGGAAATTTTCAATTAATGTAATTTAACAATTTGAAACCCTATATTTATTTTGACAAATATAGATAATATGAATTTATTCATTTTTCTTTTATCCATTTATGGATTCCAGCTTATGATATAAAAGATATATAAGATAATTTAACGGAATATTTATGAAGCAAATGATGTGTTATTTCTTTAGAAGGTGATTCATTAACTACATGAGCAATAGATACCTTTTTTTTTAAACATCACAAAATTTTGTGTATTGATTTCTATAAGATTTATATTTCCACTAAGATGATAGTTATTTATGAATTACTAGGGGATCATTCTTATGAAATAGTCAAGACAACAATTTCTTCTTTATCCACAGAAGAAATTTATTAAATAACAAATGATAAATTGTTCACTAAAATATGTTAGTTATTGTCAAAATTAATTATGGGATAAACTTCCAAAGTCTCTTTGATTAAATATAACTTCACAATATAATCGATGTAATTTTTTTAAGAAACATATTAATGCACTTATACAAAGCCCATATATTAGTTCTTTTTTAAAAAGATAATTGAACTACTCATCATTTAATCACACATTGATTTATTTTCTCGGGGGCCAGCCCTAGGCTAGATCACCAAAGCTACTGTTTATGGCCTATTTTTTATTTAATAATTTTTTATTTATAAAAAAAATTAAAATTATATTATATATCAATTAAATAATAACACCTATTTAAAATATATATAATAATAAGATTATTTGATTTATTAAATTAAAAATCACATATATAGATAATAAGTTTTTGAAATTTTTAACATATCTATTTTTTTTTATTTTGCTTTTCAATTATGATTTTTTAAATAACGAAAATAGTGTTTAGATGAGTTAATTTTATTATCAATTAAAATAAATATTAAATAAAATAAATTATAATAATTTAATAGTTTTGCATCTTAAAACATCTAAAATATATTAATTAAAAAATTATTTTTTATATTAAAAATATTTAATTTTAAATTTTGCATCAAACCTTGAGATGTGTGTGCCGACACTGATTTTCTCAACATTCTAGATCAAAAATATGCATACAAATAGTACACAAATATGCATATATAATTTATCCAACAACATAAAGAGTTCATATTTATTCATGGATACATTTGCAGAAATATATCAAAACATGTTTAAAAATTAAAAAAAAAAAACATATATAATATCATAACAAAACATTCTTCAAATCAGTAAGAAAAAGATATTTCTAAATCTCTTGAAGCCCTTGGAATGTTCATCACAAATTCTTTGACATTACCATAATTTTCCCCCATCTCAACCTCATCCTTTTGCAAGTTGATATTGATCCTTTGTAAGAGACTCCCATTGTTGATAACAAAATGGAGTAACAAAACTTCATTTTCAGTCCCCCTAAAATTATTAATCTCTACCATCTTCAAAGTTGATGTCAAGCTTGGAAAAATGTTTAGATACTCTATCCAGCTTCTTGGTTTATCACCATTAACTTTAGAGGAGTAATATTTTTTTGAAGCACTCTACAATGTAAATAAAACTTATTAGTAAAATAATATATAAATTAACAAGAACATATACTAATTTCTAAAAAATTAAATTAATGATGAAAACCATGGAATTTATCTCTAGGTATTAGCTAAGGATGCTAAAATTAAAGGTCATCAATTTGTCTCAATTATTTTCAATAATTTAAACCTTCTAGTATCAACATTCACACACATAAAAAATAGATAAAATAGTAAACTTACATCAAAAAATCTTCCAAACCCTAAGTCAATAGTAAGATGCTCCAAGAAAGGACAACTATTGAGCAAGAACGTAACTCCTTGACATTCATCGTTATGCAAATTTGTCTTTAATTTCAAATGTCGAGTATTCATCTCGTCTTCTTTGAGCATGGGTCCCAACTCATTGCATAAAACCTTGCATGTCAAATAATGAATGTTTATGTAAATATTGTCACAAAAAAGATGACTCTCACACTACAATATTCAATATTATAATATACACACACACGAAAAGAAAAGAAAAATTGTATTACCTGAAGAGTGTAACTGCAGATAGTGAGAACCTTGACATGTTTGAAATCAGCAACCATGTTATAAATTAAACCATCGTTTTCAGGAAATTCGTATTCATGGCCAAGGTTAAGATCAGCCTCTTCCATATGCAAGGAGTTTTTCATTTGAAAATAGATTACCTTTCCATAATACTCGAAATAGTTTAAGTTAGGAGCATTGATGGCCAATCCGGCATAAACAAACTTGCATCTATCAACAATAATCCTTTTCAAACTCATGTAACTTCCACAACATTCAAATTTAGTACTTATCCAACATTTTTTCATGGTTAAACTCTCTATCATCTTGCAGTTGGATAATAATAATTCGATAGCATCACTTTTCAATTCCATCCAAGCGAAATAAACTTGTTTGAGAGCACTCAATTTAATCAACTCGGTTTCAACAAAACTACAAGAAATCAATTTGAGAGATCTTAGGGATTTATGATCATATACCTTTGTGGGCAATTCATACAATGCTTCAATTTTCTCAAAATCTTCTACCACCCAATTAGGATTAGAAAAATCTAGCACCAAATCTTTAACATCTTTTTGAGTAGCAAAAGCAACACATGTTTCGATGATCTTACGATCAAATTCACGATCAAAATCTAACAATTTTAAAGCAAATTTTTCAATAAAGAAATTGTCTTTATTGTTTTCAATCCATAATAGAATGAATTTAACAAAATCCATTCTTTGAATTATTCTTTGACTATAGCCCGTTTCACAAGATCTAGAAAAATAGTGTTCGTTGAACTCAATGTTGGTGGAGTGTTTCCACAAGTTCATCCAACGTTTGGAAAGGATGGATGTCCTTGCAGCTTCTTTGAATGGAATGAGTGAAATGATGATGAAAAGCAAAGAGTTTGGTAATAAATTCATCAAATCAAAGTTTTGTTTCATATCTTGATGGTTAGATGAATAGTGGTGATGGAGTTCTTAAGGGAGAAAAAAGAATGATATAAAAGATTCAAGGTGTTTTAGTTTATATAGAGAATAAAGAATGGTGTAAAAGATTCAAGGTGTTTTAGTTTATATAAGGTTGATGAGGATTTTTATAAAAATGATATCTCTAATAAAATATTTATAATAGTTTTTTTATTCAGAAAATAATAATAAAATATTATCTTCGGTCAATGAAATATTTATAATAGTTTTTTTATTCAGAAAGTATTAATAAAATATTATCTTCAGTCAATGGAATATTTATATAGTCAAAGACTTTATTTTTATTACTTGCTTTGTTTTTAATTATCAGCTCTTTTTGAAACAAAACTATGGGCTTAAATATAAACTATTGAAATTTATTATATTATTTAAAAAATATTTCTTATTATTAATTATCTTTGAATGGAATATGAAACTTTTAAGTTAGAGACATTAATAATGAAGAAAAATTTAAGAAATTCTAGATAAAAATAAATATATTAAATACATTAGTCTCTCTTTATAATATCTATGAAAAATAAGAATAAATATATAATGAATGATAATACAAAATGTGTATATTTCAGGGTAATTAAAATCGAAAGGATCGGCCGATTCAACTAGTTGGATCAGAAATCAAAACTCTAATCAATTTGTTTAAATTTAAAAATCAATATTCAAAAAAATTGGAATTTAAATTAGAAAATTGATGGAAAAATAGAAAAATTAGAGGTTTAGACAACTTTTAAGATCATATTAAATTTTGTTATTGATTTATAAAAAGAAAAACCTGATAAATGATTTTGTTTTGAACCAAAATGTTGTTTGATTTAATTTTTTTTCTTTATTTTCTAATCACTCTTGTACATAATAATATAAAAAAAACAAATAAAAATATTAAAGTAAAAACTATTTTTAATTTCTTTGTTATTCTCTATTCATTTGATTAATGAAAATAAATTTTATATAATAACATTGAATTCACATTAGACTACTACTACTATTATTATTATTATTATTATTATTATTATTATTATTATTATTATTATTATTATTATTATTATTATTATAAAAAACTTTGACCTATCCAGCATGTAACACGATACTTTTAGTTTTGAAATACATTCTCGGGTCACTATTATAAACAATAAATTTTTTTAGATTTATTGGATAAAAAATGAATTTGATCATTATTATATATCAGATACATCAACTATTTAATAAATTTAAAACTTTTTTATTATTTATAATAGTGACCAGAAGGTATAATTTAACTTATTGTGTAATAATTAAAATTAATTAATTTATTATAAAGTAAACTGTATTTTTTGAGAAAAAAAAAAGAAAAAATTGAGACATTTTAAGCATTTTTAATATTTTTGTGTTATTTTGTTTATTGATGATTTTTAAATATTTTCAAATAATTAAATATTCAATTTTGAATATATAAATTGATATAAAAATTTAGTAAATTAAAAATATTAATTATCATAAAATTATCAATAAAGTTTTTATACTATTTTAAAAATATAGTTTTTCTTGTATATTATTCTTCTTATATAAATAAATAAAAAATATTTATTCATTATTAGTTTAACAAACAGAGTCCAACCCTGGTATAAACTTAAAACCTTGAACCAATAGGTACACCATTTTAGTCCTAGGTCAGATTTCTATTATTTTAGTATATTTGCATATAATATTAAATGAAAAAATAAATATAACTTGACCTTAATAAATTTTCTTATAAATTTTAAAAATTTTAATTAAAAAATAATTCAATTTTTTAAATATAAATTTCACATGTTACATACCACATTCTTAAATTTTTTAAATATAAATTTCACATCATACATACCACATCATATATTTAAATAATATTAATTTTTTAAATACAAATTTTCAATTGTTTACAATTAGAATTGTGATATTTCTTTTATTAATTTATTTGACCCCAAAAAATACTTTTAAATAAAAGTTCATTTTCAAATTACTATTAGAATTAGAATTTTTTTTCTTCAAATTACTAAATAATTTATCTAATTTTTATTATAAGCATCTTTAATTATTTCACATATATTAAATAATATAATTCTTTTTGTATGAGAAATAGAAATTAAGAGATATTTTATGAAAAATTATTTATTACTAGTATTGAAAAAATAAGTTTGAAGAATGAAAAAAAAAATAGAGTAATAAATATTTATAGGTATAAAATAAAAAACATCATTAATAATTCTTTGATATATAAATAAAGTGACATATACTTTTGGTATAATTTTTTTCTAAAGTGATTTATAATAAAAAGAGTATTTTTTGTACGTTAATATATGAAAATTCATAATATATATATATAGATAATATACCAAAAATAACAACATTCTTAATATAAAAAGAATATTTATGTATTTTTTTACTTACATCGTACCATTTATATTTAACTTTAGTTTTTTATCCAAAATATAAATTCTAGAATTCCAAGAATAATAAAAAATAATTTTTGTTTTTGTTTTTGTTTTTGTTTTTTTTGGTTGAAGATAGTCATATTTGTGACATATCGTGTCATTCGAACATATCACTCACCAAATAGTCTTATCTTAAATGTGACGATATTTTGTTTAAGGTCAAATGCTTCTTCTGTCCTTATATTTGGCTTTCTTAACAATTTGTCATTTTTCGTTGTTTTTGTTTTAAACATCCCTTTCAATCACAAATATATATTCAATATAGCTCTTCAAGTTAAGTATTTTTTTATAATAAAAGAATTCTATAATTTATTATTTATTGTAATTAGTAATAATTTTTTCAACAAAATATCCATCAAAGATTTTTTTTTCAAAATAAAAATAATCAAAAAAAGACAAAAATTCTTACAAATAGCAAACATAAAAAAGACCGTATGAAGCATTTGATAATTTTTTTTAAATAAAATTTTAATTGTCAAATACCTCTCTGATATCTATTGAAGTAAGTCAGACATGTATAAGTGTGAGATACATGTCAAACACGAATACTTTAGCTATTTTGAAATATTAAGACTATCTTGATTTTCTCTGCCTTTAAATTGAAGTTTATTTAATCTTTTTTACATGCAACTGTATTTTTCGCACCTATTTTACAATGATAAGGTACCTCCCTATTTATAGTCTGAGGTTGCTTGCACACAATCAATCTCCAACTAATCTAATTCAGCTAAAAACACAAAATAAAGCTAAGTCTTAAATTTTGTCGAGATACATTCATTGATATTTCGACAACAACTTACTTTTGTCGAGAAACATTATTCAACACTAGGAATTACATTCTAAACACACCACCTAATTCATAGTGTCTAAGATATCTACATTCACCATAGATATTAATTTCTTAAATGCTGAAGACCTGCACTCCTTTCATCATGATGTCTACAATATGATTCTCAGTTCTATAGTGTTCCAAGTTCAACTTCCCTTTTGCCACTTGCTCTCGAAGATAATGGAACCTCATTTCGATATGTTTGCTTTTTCCATGTGCTATCAGATTCTTCACCAAATTGATAGCAGACATGTTGTTAATCTTCATGGTAATTGCTCCATGATTCTTCGTTGTAATTTCTTCGACCAAATTTATCATCCACGTTGCTTGACATGCACAGAGAGAAGCAAACATGTACTCTATTTTACATGACGATAGTGCCACTAGTGGTTCTCTTCTCGATTTCCAAGCAACTGGTGTACCACTTAGCATAAACACATAGCCAGATGTGGATTTTCTATCCTCAACATCAATACACCAACTTGAGTCGGTGTAGCCCACTAGCTTGCATTATTTTCCTTCATAAGCTGCAAGAAACAAAATGCCATAGTAGAGGTTTCCTTTAAGATGCCTTAGTATGCTCTTCGTCGCTGTTAGATGTGATACCTTTAGCTTCTGCATGAATCTACTCACCATACCTACACTATATGCTAAATTATGTCGTGTGTGACAAAGTTATCTTAATGACCCAATAAGTCTTTTGTACTGTGTTGGTTAACATCATCTTCATCTGAGTTTTTTGGCATTTGCAGTCTTGGTTCAACAGATGTCAAAGTTTCATTGCAATCTTCCATCTCAAATCTTCTGAGTATTTCATTTGCATATCTTCTTTGATGCATCATCAAGTCTCTATTACTCTTGTAGAATTCAATACCAAGGAAGTATGCAATATTTCCCATATCAGGCATTTCGAACTCTTTGCTAAGATCACCTTTGAAGTGTTTAATCTATATCTTGCAACTACATTTTATTAACAAATCGTCGACATAGAGACGCAATATAAGTAATTCACTTTTGCTTATTCTTACATATATTCCATGCACAGTTGTGCACTTCACAAATTTCTTCTCCCTTAGAAAGCTATTTATCTTCTTATTCCAAGCTCCTAGAGCTTGCTTAAGTCCATACAGGGTTTTATGCAGCCTGTATACCTTACTTTCTTCACCTTATTTCACAAACCTAATTGGTTGTGAAACATTAATTTTTTTCATTTAAGGGGCCATTCAGGAATGCACATTTCACATCCATCTAACATATATGCTACTTGTTCATGTTTTATAGACCAACAACCAACATAATTGTTTTGATTCAAGCAATAGGTGTAAAAACTTCGTCAAAGTCGATTCCTTATTTCTGAAGAAATCCTTTTGCCACAAGTATTGCCTTATGTCGAGTTACTTATCCTTTCGGATTCAGCTTCACCTTGTATACCCGCTTCACATCGATTGCCTTCTTGTCTTGAGGAAATTCGACAAGTGACCGAGTGTTGTTGACTTTGATGGACTTCATTTCCTCATTCATTTCTTTCATCCACTTTGAATCCTTTAATGCCTCAACTGTATTGACTGGTTTGACATTTACATAAAAAGCATAGTGTACTAGCTCACCTTCACCATCGACCATATCATTTGATGTAATCACACATTCTTGCAACCTTGCAGGCGTGCATCTTATTCTTTAAG